GAACATTAGGGACAATGTTCCATCCTAAGTGTGGGGTGGAGAGTTTTAGTTTTGTTTAGAGTATGTATTGTACATGATGTTTGGTGAATGTGAGTCGTTCCCACTGTGTTTGATGTGTTGTGTCTTGAACTTGATAGGGTAGAATGTCGTTGCTTGGAATGATTGTGTGAATGGTTTGTGAACTTATTATGCTTCGGTGTATGAATCTGCCTCTCTGTTATCCCAAGTTAACCTTGAAATGCATAACTTGTGTTTGCATGTAGGATTGCCTGTTTCACATGGTGTGCCCTCATATTAAAATTCACTCACTAGAATTGAATTGTGCCTGAACTTAGGTAAAATTGAGTATAATTTGTATAGAGTAGGGTATGACATCTAGTAGCCGTGAGTTTGAACCTTCAATGTCAATTTCATATTGTGTGAAGTTTTTCATTACTTTGTGTTTCGGTAATCTTGATCAAAACCACGAATTGATTGTGTTGTATGTATGCAAGCATAAACGATAGAGACCATTAGTACAACTCGAGCCAAAAAGCCTACCCTATTATTGACAACTAGGATCAACCTCTTTGAGACATGGCCTTGTTTTTCGGTTCGATCACACCTCTCACCTTTACCCTTTTCTTGTATCCCCGTTGAACCCTTCTCACGAGGAATGAGGTCTTTTGTGTGAATATAGTGACCCATTTTCATTTTCATTGTCTTGTAAATAAAGTTGATGTTCTAAGGTAGTAGTTGAAGCTATAAATGAGAGATGCATTTTGCCACAGCAGTATGCAGTTAGATATTGCATAGGCATTCTGCCACTGCACCTTCTTTTGCATCATTTTGTCTTCTACTACTTCGAAAAGAGGTATTGACCATCAATGTAGTGTCTTTTAGTCCCATCCCCCATAAAAAAGAAAAAATCAGTTAAATGAAAAATGAAAAAAAATCAAATTAAAAAAAAGGGCTAATACCACTACAACACCCGAACTATGACAAAAATGCCACTTGTGTCCTATTCTTTCAAATATTCCATTTATGTCCTGAACTATTTTTTCCGTTAGAGTTGACCGGCGTTGACCGTTAATTTTAACAGAAATTATAGTTAGCGCTGACGTGGCAGATGACATGGAATTTTAAATTAATAACATTTTAAAATAAAAAAGAAGCAAAATTTTGGGCCACTTCCGACCTCACCCTCCTCCCACATTCTCTCTCCCTCCCTGCTCACCTCCGCCTCTCCGCGACTCCGCCTCCCAACTCGCCGACTCTGCGAAGTCGCCACCATCTCCCAGTACTCCGCTCTCCTCGCAACAAGTTGCTCCAATCACCCCTCTCATTCGACAAAAACCCCTGCCTCATTCGTCCAAAAAACCCCTGCCTCCACCACTGCTCTGAATCGAAACTTCCATGGTCGATTTCAGAGGAGCCCTAAATCGACCAGCCATGGCCCTAGCTTCCCCCATCCAAATCCGTCTCTCTTTCGCCCTTCACCCATCGATTGATAACTTGATCTTGCCCCGATGTTGGGTCGGCGGGCTAGGGCAATTTGGAGGGTCAGGTCGGCGGGATCGAGCAATTTGGAGAGGAATCAAATCTAGCAGGGGAAGATTGCATCGTCGGTGTCTCATGGCATCGCCGACCGTTGTTTGCGATCTCTAGTCGTCGTTTGCGTCCCTATCCATCATCCTCCCTCTCTCCTCTCCCATCTTTCGGCCGCCGAAGTTGTTCCACTGGCTGTATGAGAATCAGAGCTTCGTCGTCTTCCAGATGGAGGGGTTGCTGGAAGAGCAGCTTGTCGTGGGGGAAGGCGGCAGAGAGATATCGTTGCCATAGATGCTGATTTGCGGAACGGATTTGAAGGCGGCGACAGCGATGGTTAGAATTGAGGGCGGGGTAGGGTGGGGAGCGGGTTGAAGGCGACGGTGGGTAGAAGGTTATTTTATTTTTTTATTTTTAATTATTTTGCAATTTAATTTGATTTTGAATTAAATAATATATGTGGTATGATGTGGCATCTACGTGGATGCCACGTTTCCTTCCATGTCAACAAAAGTCAACATCTCTTTGACCACCGTCAGGTCAACCGTTAGAGATAACGGTCAACGAAATCGCCAGGATACAAATGGCACAAAGTATCATAGTTCATGATAGAAATGGAATATTGAAAAGCATAGGACATAAGTGGCATTTCTTAGATAGTTCGGGTGTTGTAGTGGTATTAGCCCAAAAAAAAGGATTGAATTTTTTTTTGTTTTGAAAAAGAGTAAAAGAGAAAGAGAAAAGGGGGCAAATAAATAAGGATCGATGTATCATCTTTAGGAATCAATGTTCTTCCCTTGTTGTATAGTCTTAGTTTTGCTTATGTTATGCATTTTTTTTCATTTATTCAAGGCCTCGATATTAGATAGTTCTTGCTTTGGGTCCACCTTTGTAACTCATTCCTCGTGAGCATCACCATTTCCCTCCTATGAAACCTCACCTTAACCCTTATCCTTACACATATTACCCAAACGTTGTCATCTTGATATGCTTGTGTTTGTACTGATCGGTCCAACTGTGGTTGAAGAACAAGGTTTAGGTAAGCACTAGTAAGGAAAAATTTGAGTGTAAACACCAACCCTTAAACACTTGTGTGATTGAGCGAAATACACATTCCTAGTGAGGAAATCTAGATGCCATGCTTTTACTCTTAACTTACCTTACTCTTTGTTTAAATGAGTTTTGGCACAATTCACTATTAGTGTGTTTATTCTACATGTAGGGTACATCATGTGATGGAGTGTAATCTAACTTGCAAGCCTAGGTATGCATGGAAAGGTTGAATTTGACGATAATGTATATACATAGATATCTACACCAAAGCATAGTAGGTCCACAACTAGTCACACCGTCACTCAAGCAACAATGGTGTTAGTCGAGTCTTAGGAGTAGTGTGTCTTTTATTTGAGTCCTATGAGTCTTAGTGGTATGTTTATTTGCTTCTTTTCAATTATTTCTCTCTTTTGCTTTGGGACAAGTAAATGCTAAGTGTGGGGTTGTGATAAACTTCATAAACATATATGTATTTTGTGCATAAATGTGTGTGTGTTTAAATTGCTCTAAATTAGTTCATATTGACCATGGAATGGCCCTAGTGTCATTATCAAGACATGTAGCGATTTAACACAGATTGAAGCTAAGATTGTGAACAAAACAAAGTGCAGTGGATGAATGCAGGTGCAGTGTCAAAATGCATATGTGCAGAGGCAAACGTCCAGCAGGAGGCCAAATCGATGAAGACCCAAATCGAATTATTGTGGTTGAAATCTTCACTCAACTGTCAGCAACCCTTAGAAATTATTGGGATTGGGTCAGATTTCTTGAAGTGAGCAAATGGATTTGGTGGCTCACCAATAGAGAAAATGATGCAAGAATTTATTGCAAAGAAAGAGACTTAAGCTAGCAGCAGCCTTCTCTTGGAAATGTGACCTGCAAGTGTCTTGTTTTGTGGGATTAAATCTGCAGAAAATGGATTTAAAAGGGGCAGCAACTAGGAGAGTAGAGACACTTTTGGAGACTAGTTTTAGACAGAAAAATCAAAGGAGAGAGCTCACTTTGTCACACTTTGGAGTTGAGCATTTTGAAGAGAGGAAGACTCTTGTAAGTTAGGGATTAACTTCAACACTTAGTACTTTCTCTACTCCTTTGTTTTGGTAGTTAGTCATCATGTTGAACATTAGCATGTTTATGTACTTTCTTTTCATCATGAACTAATCCCCAATTTCTGGGGGAAACTTATGGATTTCATTATCTAGCCTCGATGTTTTAATCATGACTTGTTTTTCTTCCATTTTCTATCGTGTGGAATTGTTTAACGCTTTGTGTTGATTGGCCACCTTCACAATGATTTGTAGTTTTCTAGGTTAATAACGATAGTGAAAACCTAGTAACCGAACACATTTCACACAACATAATTGCCTATCGAAGCGATACTGGATTAAATAGGGAATTATGCAGTCATTTCAGGGATATCGTTCTTAAGGCTAATTAATTAATTCAGTTAACTACGATAGTAGAAATTGTCTTAATTAGTTAGTACGTGGTAATTCTCGATAGAGATAGCTATAAAATTATAGGTATCCCGATTGTAAAAATATGGATTAAATCGATTGACAAGGGTAATTAAATTTACTGAGGTAAAATAGTAAAATCTTGTGTTTCCCCCCGGAACTCTCCAATATCAATTTCTCCAAAATAGTTTATTTATCGAGTTACTTAATTTGTGCAATCTTTGCAAATCATCACTTGATTACAACCTTTGCAATTCCTATAGTTTCTTGAACTAAATTTGTTAATTATTGAGTTTCACCAATCCCCTAGAGAACGATAATTTTACTTACACTTTATTACTTGCACGACACTGTGCACTTGCAGTTTTGTCGCCACCACGGTTCCTCCACAAAGACCAGCAAAATATGGCGAACGGCGACGAACTAATGACTTGACTCCATCCCGACAAGTAGTGTTGTGCCCATCTGAAAAGTCAGTAGTATAGAACGTAGAATCGAGTTCATCCAACAATACCTCAACCCAGGCTGCTCATGCGTAGGGGCAATCCCGGATAATGTGCAAGGTGATCTCCTCGCCTCTGCCGCAGATATGGCAGGAGTCATTTTGCGTCAGATTTCTGCGTTTTCTCTCTGAATTGGTGAGCAACCGTTGATGGGATGCAAGCCAAAAGAAAGCTCTCGCCCTATGCGGCCTTGGAGCTTTCCATATGGTTCACCACAAGGGATTAGCTTCAGGTCCGCGCGGGCACCGGATGAAGACGGATCAATTCCACTATGTTCCCAGGAAGGAACGCTAAAAACAAAGTTGAGTTGGGGGAAAATGAAACCCTAAAGTCTTGGGTGTTTCTCATTCATACTTTGGTTTAAATAGGCAAAAGCTTTGCATTACAAGACAACATGTGCAAGCTAGCATTTGGAGACTACAAAGATAAAACATAACTCAAACTAAAATCTAAACTTGATGATGATGATGATGATTTACTCTAAACCTTGTCGATCCACTTTGACATTCATGATCGCCGGTTTGAGTCTTGACGATCTTTCAATATCTCCTGTTACCCCCCCCCCCCCCCCCCCCCCCCCGCGGCCGCCGCAAGCGGGTGAGCACATAATGTGAGCACATAATGTGCACACCAAGCTTGGAGAGAAAAACAGTTTTGAGTTGAGAATGTTGACGCACTGTTGGCTAGCTAACTTCCCTTCAAACTTCAAATGGTGAAGCTGCTACATCTTGCTAGCTAACTTCCCAAACATCTTCTGAAAAGCTGCTGCCTCTGTGGCTAACAAGCTGAAATCTTCTTCTTCAATCGGTGATACCACTGCATCTTTGGCTAGTTGGCATCCCATCTTCTTCGGCTTCTTCTTCTTCTTCTTTTTCTTCTTTTTCTTTTTCTTCTTCTTCTTCAACTCCTCGACCCCCAACTCAGCTTTGTAGCTTGAGTTTCTCCAAATTAACTCGGACATGCTGCTGCTTTTTCTTGGCTAGCTAGCACTCCTTTCTTCTTCATCAACTACTCAACCCCCAGCTTCAGCTACATAGCTTCAGTTTCTCCAGTTTTGATAGGATATGCTGCTGCTTTTTCTTGGCTAACAAGCACTCCTTCAATCGAAAATGCCGCTGCATCTTGGCTAGCTGGCTCAACTTTCTCATTTTCAGCTTTTCTGCTTTAGATGGATCTTCAAAGTGGTCCGGATATGTTGCTGCTGATTTTGCTAGCTAACATTCCATCCGAAATATGGGCCGGATATGCTGTTGTTGATTTGCTAGCTAGCATTCCATCTGAAAAAGAACTAAAATCAACAAGGGAGTGCATTGTTGGCTACTTCCCTTGCTAGAACAACTTTGGCTTCTGCCATTCTCTTCCTCTTTGCTGAAACAATAACATTTTTGTTGCTGCTGAAACTTGCAGCTCCTCCTTTTCTTTTTCTTTGTTGTTGAGAAAACACATGAATAACAATAGTATACGCTCTTGGCTGCTGCTTTCTTCTTCTGTTGCTTCTCTTACTTTTTTTTTTCTGCTGCTGCTGAAAGTAGGAGCTTCTTCTTTGTTCTTCTGATTTTCTCTGAACTCAGAACAAGAAAATTGGAACTCCAGTTGTGCAGGAGCTAGCACTGGCTTCTCCTTCCCACACAATCATGAAACTCGGCAAACAAACATTCAACCTTTTGATGGAATTAATCTTGACAAATTGGTCGCTCTTCTCTGTTTTAATCACTTTCTTTTCAATCAAAGCTTTCAAAGCTTCCATTCCAATCACAGTAATGACTGAATTCAGTTCAATCTCTTGTTCAAGACCCACAATATCATTCTCTGTAGCCTTCCTCTGCTCATTCAAGAGGGAAATTTCAAACTCTGATTCAAAGAGCTCACCTTGGAGTTTCTTCATTGAATCCAGAGAGGCGCCTGCTAGCAGCGTTGGTAAGATCCACAACTTCGAGCAGGGTTTTGATGACTGCGGCCTTTTTGAACCACTGAGCTTATCTTCACTTTCCTCTTCTTCAATCCCACCACTGTTGCTAGTCGATTTCTTCTTGCTGGTTCGAAATTGATTGATGAAATGAAATGGGGCCGACTCTTGGTGTCCTTCAGCTGAAAGGCGGTAGCCAAGGGAGAAGGCTTACATGAAACAGATTTCTCGACCACTGGGCTCCCCTTTTCTTCTTCTTCTTCGTGCGATTTGGCCAGCGGGGATGGATTCTCCTCCGTTGGGCTTGTCTTGGTCATGGCGACGACGATCGATGAAGCAGAGGGCTAGTGGCGGGTCTTGCTGAGACGATTCAGATCCGGCGGCGGGAGTCCGCTGTTCAGTTTCTTTAGCAGCGGACTGTTTTCTTCCTTGCCTGCCGTCTTTGACTGGTGAGAGGTGTGGACGATGACGGGCAAAGTGGTCTGGAAGCGGATTTCCAGATCTGCCGGTGGTTGAAGATATGGGAGTCTAGATCTATAACACGAAGAACGGAAGATACAAGGAATTGCTCGATCTGGGAATCTGGGGAAGAGATGGGGAAAGGAGGGTGCTGATTTGCGGCGGAAGATGGATGAGATTTGGTGATTTCTGGGTTTGAAAAAAGAAAAATGGGATTTGGGTTTTGGGTTCAACAAAATGGGAATGGGTTTTGACGAAAAGTGGGTTTTGGATCCGGGAGATTTGGGTTTTTGTGAAATGGGATTTGTGGGGTTTTTGGGAAAAGGATGAGTGGGCAGAAGAGATTGGGATAGAAGAATTGGGTCTGGAAATTTGGGGAAGATGGTAAACGAATTTGGTAGGCAACAGATGCAATGAAGAACATTTTTTTTTTGCTGGGTTTATGATCTGAAAGTTTCAGATCTTGGACATAGTCCTTATTTTGGTGAGTAGAAGGATTTTAGGGTTCTCTAGGATCTAGAGGCTCTGATACCATAACAACAAAGTTGAGTTGGGGGAAAATGAAACCCTAAAGTCTTGGGTGTTTCTCATTCATACTTGGGTTTAAATAGGCAAAAGCTTTGCACTACAAGACAACATGTGCAAGCTAGCATTTGGAGACTACAAAGATAAAACATAACTCAAACTAAAATCTAAACACACATTGACATGAAACTAAACTTGATGATGATGATGATGATTTACTCTAAACCTTGTCGATCCACTTTGACATTCATGATCGCCGGTTTGAGTCTTGACGATCTTTCAATATCTCCTGTTAAATGCTTGCAAGTACGGGAAGTTCCATTCCCCATTCAAGATCAAATTCGACACCGCTAAATGGTGTGCTTTCGGCGGTAGGTTAGGTGCATGATCCGACAATATCAGTCCGTCTTGAACCCAACAATCGGTCCAGAATGAGGCTTGATTACCGTTGCGACCTGACCACATCAAGGCTTCCGGGATAAGGTGGATCACCCGAAGAACCCCTCTCCAGAGATTTGAAAACCTCCCCGTGCTTTTCGGTTGCCAGCCCGACACCATTTTCTTCAAATATTTAGCACGCAGTACACAAACCCAAAGGTTGTCCTGTTCTGTCATTATTCTCCATGCTAGCTTCAACGTGAACGCATCATTCATACGGGTGGCATTCCGAAGCCCCAGCCCACCCTCCTCTTCGGAGAGCAAATAGTCTCCCAATCAACAAGGTGTATCCTCTGCCCGCTTTCGTGCTGCCCCATATGAAAGCTCAGATTTTTTTATCAATGTATTCCTGCACCAAGGCTAGAAGAAGGGTGGTATGCATTGTATATGCCGACATCGAGGATAGAACTGAATGTGCTAAAGTAATCCGACCTGCCAAGGATAGAGACTTCACTTTCCAGCCTGCCAATCGCGAGTCTAACTTGTCGATGAGGTCGGAGAAGGTGCGCTTTGACACTCGATCGTGGATCACCGACACTCCTAGATATCTGCCAAGGTTCTTCGTTTCTGCAATCCCAACACTGTACTCAAAGAAATCCAATCCTGATGGTTAACATTGGCAGAGAAGAAGACACAATGACTTTTGTTTATTAACCTGTTGGCCTGATGCCGCACCGAACTCTTCTTGAACTTGGGACATAGAAGCCTCCCCAAACAAGATGAAGACTTGGAGCTAGTATAGTTTCTATGATTTTTTTCAACTTTAGACATTCAGCTCAGTGTTATTTTATAATAAAATTATATGTAACTAGAAAAATTATTAACATGAACATATTAAAATCACTACGATAAATTTAGCCTACAAATTCTAGTCCCAATTATTTTGATTAAAAAAAGTAAAAAACTAACAATGAAACCTAAAAGACTAAAAGAAATATGCGGTTTGTTGCTTTGAAAATTTACTAAAGCAACTGGTGGAAATAGAGATAGACACACAATACAAATTGATTTATCTAGTCTTGATGTTGCCCGTTTCAACGGCTACTATGGAGAGAATATTTTCAGCAATGAAACATGTGGAAATTGATTTGCGCAACAAAATGAGGGATGAGTTTCTCGTTGATTGCTTAACCATTTTATTTGAAAGAGAGTATGCTATTGATATGTATGTAGACTCCATTGTTCACAAATTCACTAATTAAAAGGCGATTGTTTACAATGGATATTGTAGTAAAAAACTAGGGTCATTATATTTTTTTACGCTATCTTATTTTCTAGTAAAATGCGATCAAGTGCTCTACTATGTCTTGGATCCGCCGCAGCTCCGCTGTTCGTACACTTTTGTTTAAACTTTAGGCAGCTATGTGTTTGTATTTCACTAACTATGGTTAGTGCCAATTATGCTTAATATTTGGATGAAAGCTGGTTGTAGGATGGATTGTAGTTTGGGATATTGTATTTGATTGTTAGTTATGGTTTTGGATGAACTTGTTTAGTATACTCATGTTAAATAGTTATCTGTTTGTGTTGCACTAATTACGGTTAGTGCTAATTATGCTAAATATTTCAAATAAAATTGATTGTAAGATGGATTATGATTTTGAATGTTGTATGTGATTGTTAGTTATTTTAAATAGCATGCATGGGTAGATTTAGTGGCGGACCCAAGAATTTTACATAGGGGGTGTCCTCTTTCAAAAAATAAAGTAAAATAAAAATTATATAATTAATAAAAATTATATCATTCTTAAATAAGAAAATACTCAACTCGTATAAGTTAAAAAATTCAATGATGTATTTTCATAGTCTAAAATAATTATAAAATACACTTGGTGTCTACACTGCTCAACAAATTTGTCTCGGTATATCCTGCTAGACAATCATTCACGAACTGACGCATATTTGACTTTCAAATTTGTTCTTGATGTAACTCAAAGATGAAAAGACACTTTCAACACTTGCCGTACAACCATAAAATCAATACAAATTAAGGGTAGCTTGTAATTAAATTAATTGTTAGGTTATGAAAATAATTAAGGATAGAGAATAAGGTTTTGCTATTACACCATGTTTAGAATAGAACAACAAAAAAGTTTGTAGGCTAATGAATATTATATTTATTAGTAATATAGTGTCCCGGGTTTGAATTACCCAAACTATCACTTATATTTCCATATGCAAACTACAAACGAGAGTATGATAATCGTTCTTTCAAATTTCAGGGTGTCCTGAGCAGTGGCGGAGGCAGGATTTCAAACTACCCCTGTCCTCCATTCAGAATATATATATAATATTTAATAAATATAATTAAAACTATTAATACCTAAATAATTCATTCATAGAGAAACAAAAAATTGACTAGTACAATTATTGTTTGCATAAATAACCACGACGAGTTTTCATATTATGAAAGAAATGCAAAATACATTCATTGTTTACACTCTTAATTGTGAGTCGCTTACAATGTAACCCATTAAACAATCATTAACAAACTCATTGCCAATTCGACTTTGAAAATTATTCTTAATATAGCTCCATCTAATATATGCACTTTTATCTCCACCATTACTTGAGATAATTCATCAATTCTTTTCAACCCAACATATCTCTCATAAGCAATAATATCGTGATAATACCTAACAAGCTGTTGTCGAATAATAGTATCATGAATGAAATCAATAATTAAATTATTTTTTATGAATTAATGAACAAGTAATGAGTTATAGTGTAGTGTGAAAACATCCTTATGTTACTTATAGGTGTTGAATTCGACCTCTACAAATATATGTGGGTTATTTTTTTTCCTCCACAAAAGTTACCCCTGTCTTGGGACAGGGGCAAACACCCCTGGCTCCGCATATGGTCCCGAGCTATTAATTGTAATTTTTTTCCATACATAAATTACTATCGGGGGTTGGATAATCCATCTTCCAAAATTTAGGGGTGTCCCGTGCCCCTGAGTCCGCCTCTGAGCAGATTTCCAAAGTCTGGTTTTGCGAGTTCGACCAGACCAAACCTGAACCCAACAAGGGGAAATTAATTTACCCAAACTCAAATCCTCAAAACCTGCTCATTGGGTTCCCTTATTGGGTTTTGGGTGGGTCGATTTGGATCGACCGGGTGGTTCCATTATTCAAGTGAGTTGGTTTCCTGATGGGTTGGATAACATGTAGATGGAGACAAGAGATGTGTGTACATAAGCTGAATTATAAGACTGATCACTTCGTTTATCAATGTTTTCACGATATCTCATAAATTTTCCTTACTAGTCATTAATTTTACATCTCGTTTTATTATTGGTTACTCGTCGTCTACTTTCATGAAGATTATTTTAGATGGTAGTCAACTATGATATTTGATCATTAAATTATTGACATCTAATTTGTTTATGATCAATTAAAAAACAACCAATCCGTATCAAGTTGCTTTCTAATTTATTTTTATTTTTAATTCACACGTCAACTTAATGTCCAATATTGTAAAAGATTGTCACATAAGCATAATTTTATGAAATTGGATGAATTGACAAGTGACCAATGATGTAGTAGTTATAAATTCAATGATTAGTTACAAGGAAAAACGTCAGGAACTCAGGATGGAGAAGATCGAAACATTTGATTGGTTTAGTGACCAAGCGTGTAATTTGACCTCTGTCTAGCTATATATATTGGGTTCCGTCAAAGAATTACGCGAGTTTCGTTTCTTGGGCGCTCTAAATTGCAAAATCTGCTGAGCGATACTCCTCCTCCGTCCGCCATCTCCGTCCTCCTCCGTCCGCCATCTTCGTCGTCGCAGCCGCCATCTTCGTCGTCGCAGCCGCCATCGTCGTCGTCGCAGCCGCCATCGTCGTCGTCGCAGCCGCCATCGTCGTCGCAGCCGCCATCTTCGTCGCAGCCGCCATCTTCGTCGTCGCAGCCGCCATCTTCGTCGTCGCAGCCGCCATCTTCGTCGCAGCGGTAGGTTTCTTCCGACGATGATTGGAACCTGCTCTCTCCCGCAGCGGTAGGATTTCTTCCGACGATGATTGGACCCTGCTCTCTCCTCCGTCTCTCATTGACAATTGCCTTCTAAGCTTCAGGTATTCTTTCACACACCTCAATTGGATGCAAAAGCCTAAATTAGGAGTTTATTTTAGCTTCGAAGAACTCTATTTATGCCGCAGAACGTGGTTGCTGTTAGTTGCGAACGATGATATTTGTGTTCTTTGTTATAGAGATCCCCTTTCTTTCCAATTCTTTAACCCATCTGTATATTCAAAAGCCTAAATTAGGGTTTTATTTTAGCTTCGAAGAACTCTGTTTATGCCGCAGAACGTGGTTGCTGTATGTTGTGAACGATGATATTTGTGTTCTTTGTTATAGATATCGCTTTTCTTTCCAATTCTTTAACCCATCTGTATATTCTAGACTAGCCTCGTCTCTCTAATATAGACATTTGAGCCCTTTTGTTTAAAACCTCTTGCATGCATCAATCATAGAAACACCAGCTTGTAGTTTAAATTTTTACATATTTGAAGGGTTTTTTTATGGTTCTGCAATGTGAGAACCCAATCCTAAGTAGTTACAAGGGACAATACAATACAGAGATAGGCTCTGCACTTACAACTCAACTATATACATCTCTTAACACTAAGACGAACTCACCAACTACAATTAATAACCTGACAATCCGCTTGCAGAGTAGTGTTTCCTAAGCACATTAGCTCAAAAGTCCTTATTTTCTGAACTAACTGAGCAGGATCCAGTCCTTGCTGCCCATAGCATCTATTACATCTTTCTCTCCACAACATACTGGTTGTTAGATTCCACAATAACCTCCAAACCTTTGCCATAGACCGCTTACCTCCAAATTTTGATATGGCCCAGTGCAAATACATGCCAAACTGCGGGAAGAACCCTCCCTGTAAGTGAATGGCTTGGAAACAGCATTGCATCAGTCCTAGAGTACATAGTGACAGAAGAGATGATCTCTTGGTTCCTGGCCATTTCCTCAAAGAACACAGTTATTATCAGAGATCTTTCCCCATGTTTTCAATCTGTCTCTAGTCATAAGTCTGTCCTTTACCACCAGTCAGCTTATAACACTATGCCTAGGCACACTGTAATGCTCCCACACCAAAGCATACCAGGGTACCTTAGGAGTATAACTTCTCAAATCATTCCAAATCATTGTCACTGAAAACTTCAGCATGTGTTTGCCATTCCAGAATACTTTATTGTTCCAACTTGTTATTAAATGCCCCACCTTATCTCTGGTCTTTAAAATTTTCTTCCAAATCCATGAGGAACAGCTAGGCAGCTCTCTGAAGGTTAAACATTTGATTTGATATTTGTAAATCCATGAGACCCACCAAGGTTCCTTTTTGACCAATACATTCCATACATGTCTAGTAGTGAAAGCAAGGTTCCATATTTGAAGGTTAGGAGGTAAATGATTATGATTATGCAGATGTGTACAGCATATGCTGCACTCTTTTCTCCATGTTAATACCAAAATGTGATAAAACATAATTATCTTCAATGAACTAATGAACAATATCTCTATGCCCTACTGATACTACATTGCAGGATACCTTTGAGAAGATGGCAAGCGAACAACAACGAGACAGATACTTCCGATATGGGCAAGTTAAGGAGAGAATAGCTTACATTGAGCTTCAATTACAACATTTGAATCTGCAAAGACTAGAACAGATAGAAGCTGAGCTTGCACAAACTGCAGAGAATCAGTTAGACCAGAAACGTCTGCTGGCCACGCGGGGTTCGGATTTGATGAAGACGAGGAGAATTTTGCAAGACGAAATCCATCGTCTGAATGCTGAAGCTGATAGGTTGGCAGAACGACTGCGGCAGGAGGCATACCATAGATTTCATTAGATCGCACATACAGAGCCAGGATTGCAAATGCCGACAGCAAGATGATTGATAATCTTCAATCGTGAGTACTGATGTTTCTCAACATCAATTCCTGTATGCCAGCCTATCTTCATTCATTCATTCATTCATCTATCAACTATGTTTGCTTTTTTTTTTTTTTTTTTGCTTTTTTACTTTCGTGTCACTTGAGGATTATGATTTGATTCTATGAAGAGGAACATTTTCTGCAATAGGATTCCCCTGTATGTGTTCAGTACTTCAGTTGTAAGTGCTTGTGCTTCTGATCTTAATAACCTAGATTAACTCATTATGACCCACTGGGTACTAAAAGAGTAAAAGTATCAAGGCCTGTACGTGTAGACAAGGACCATTTAGTCACATAGGAACTTGCTTTCCGACAATTTTTAGCACAGCTTCGTAAATGGAGACTTAATGGGGGTAACAAGCTTCTGACCTCGAACTGTTTCCTCAAAATCCTGAACTCATCCTTACAACCTTAGTAATCTATCAAATCTGCAAGATTTGGTCTGTGACCAGTAGAACTACACTACAACATATTGGCATTTCCCGAAATGATCACATGGAAAACCTAGGAATGTACTTGCTTGCTAGGCTTCACATATCTCTCTCTGTAAGCACCTTCACATTTCTCTTGTTTGGAACTTGTTCATCTACCATGATCATAAAACTGAACCTTCTACCTTCGCTTTCAGATTGTGTGTTTTCCTATTCAATATACGTTCCCAACCTGTGACACAGCACAATACAATATCTGCGTTGAAGTCCAGTAGTCCACCGTTTATTGCAATATGCAAGTAAAGCATAGACATGTCTTAGTCGAAGCCAAAATGCTTTCTTAAATTTAACTTATTGTGATTAATCGCCTCGTTCCTCAAACCGTGGAGAGGATGGAAGTTTTAGGACTTGAAATTTGTCTTTAACATCCCAATTTCCACTTTCGGAGGATACAAAAGATAACCAAGTCCTGATCTCATGGTAAAAAGAAATCGAAGTGCATGTCATAATAATAGTGCAAAACCAAAGATGAGGTATAATGTTTCCGCCACTTCGACTGTGCCTGTCGTATGCAGTGTTGAACTTTTTCCACCACCTGGTTCATTGTACTGCCACCCCAACAAAACAGAAACCCCAAACGTGTACTGTCACTACAAGAAACGGGGGAAAAAAGGATTTGAAACAGGGAAATAGTTGATCGCTTTGTTTTTTTTTTTTTTTATTTATTTATAATGGCGATAGATTAAAGAACTGAAAAAACAAACAAGTCTGTACAAGCCATAGGGATCGCAAGGAGCGATCACACGAGGCCCTGAAAACCAAGAAGGAAACCAGAATTACAGAAAAGAGAAAGACCCTGGAAAACCCTTGATACGACACAAGAATAAGGGTAACAGAATCATTTCCTACCAACTCCAACAACACCCAACGCAACCCAAAAAAGGAACCGGAAATCAAACTGTACCCCCAAAGGCCCTGGGAACAACAACGATCCACTCGACGCCTCCTGTACAACGATCAAAATCAGCACCCAGCTAATGTCTCACGCAACCAAGTCTCGCCCTGTACCCTCTCAACTTTACCATGAGCCACTAGCCATTCCATCGTGTTCCTCGTCGCCCTATTAGCCACCACGTAAGTTGTCGATGACTTCTCTTTGAAAACCCGCTGGTTTCTTTCCAACCACACGAACCACCAAACAGCATGGAGAATGCATTCTTTAAACCAGCCTTCAATGCAGTCCGACGCAAGGTGTGGACAGTTTTTAATAATCGAGCTAATATCTCCGCCTTGAAAGAACACTCCCTGTCTGGCACGGCTGAACATGGCCAGGTATGTGATCAATAGCGTGTCGCCGTATTCCTGGAGAGCATCAAAACAGAATATCAACTCATCATATTCACCACACAAACAATGATGAGATGTTCTCGAGTATGCATGTTTTTTTTTTAACTAACCAGGATGTACTGTGATGATGAAGTCTTGACTCTTGAGAGAGTACAGTTGTTATCCAAAGGAGCTTGTACAATGAGAGAACTCCCCATTAGGAAATCATCTTGGAGTTTTTCAGATTCAATAGATGGCAATCATCTCATAATGCTTGATACCTGTCGAAGCAAGGAGTTCTAACATGGAATCTCACCTGCATTTAAAAAATATACTAACCATTAACTTTGACCCTTCTCGATGGAGATATTGCAAAAGCAATAGTATCTCAGTGACACTACTGCCTAAATGCATGAGATTATCCAAAATCCATATATCTTGCACATTTCAAATAGGTTGGTTTTGTAACGTCTAAACTGAACGATCTTCACTCACTGGGAACCCTATGAAATCAACTATTCTGCAACTGAGATATGAGAAGAAGAACGTAAATACCCTTCTGCATAGCTACAAGATAGTGATGAAGCACCCTGATTCTGCTACTTAACATCTTGATGGCAATTGTGTACGCTGGTAAGGTGAGCAACCACTGCAATAAAAGGCTGCATCAGCAAAACTGCCCAACAATTGGTAAAAAACAAAAGCAAAATGGCCCAACCAGATACACAGGCTAAGACTGTCGAAAGAACAACAGAGCAAGGGCAGAGCAACTTACATTGGGTGGCTGTAGACCCTCCATCAGACGGCTTAAGCTGTGCAACATGATCAACTGAAATCCTTTCAGCTTCTACAGTCTTTAAGGCAGAGACAATGTGTTAACACTTCCAGTTGGTCTAATAACATGAGTCAGAGAACAAAATGAAGATTTGAAAAACCTCAAAGGTGTCCGTCGCGTTAACATTAATCAGTTGTGGAATTCCATGAATCACATGCAGCTCCAATTTCATACACAATCAGGAAACATAAACATCCATAACCTTGAAAGTTCACTAAGGCGGCTAGAAACGAAGAATAGATTGTTCGGTGCTAGCCTTCCATGTCCACACTCATATAAGACAATTGATTACGATTGAGTACATAAAACTTGCAATTAATTCCATAAAACAGGCTGTAGCAATAAGAAGAAGGAGACCAACAACTTACCACTTTCATAAATAGTCATGGGAAGATCTTTCGGAGCATGATTTATGGCATGATTTAGGACATAGACAGGATTTTCATTACAATCCATCAACTGTTACAAGATCACAAAAAGATCAGCAGAATGAATGACTGGGAATTTGATTCAGGAGTACCAAGAATAAGGAAATAACATGTGACCTATTTCTCAAGCACTTGGACGTCGTATGAAACAAAAACCACCATTTCTCATGAGGTAATAAACCATGAAAGCTTTTCCACCAAGTAACAAGAAAGCACCCTCCACACATAAACCATGAAATTCTTAACATGCTTAAGTAGATGGTATGATGAAGCACAATGTAGATCTCGGAACAGCCTTCAAAGGACTACCCTGGAAAAACACAATCTATAGTCAAGACAATTACTACATAGCATCTGCGAAAGGAAACCTCAAGTATCAATGGTTCTATAGCCAGAATGTATCCATTGATTCTGAACACTCAAACTTTGGATATCACTACCAACTGCTGCTCGGTTAAAGCACCGAAGAATAAGCACTAACACGTAACACCCCATCCCAGCAAGTCAGCTAAACACACAAAAGTTGGCATCAAAATACTTGGGTGAAGAGTTATCCAGTGGAGTTGAACTTCACCGCTTTGAGAATGTGTATATCTGATTCTTCCGCATCACTGCCAGTGGAATGAATACCAGCCGAGTACGTAGAAGTTCGGGAAAACCTTCTTATCTGCTTGCAACACAAACAGTCAACAGGCATTAGTTCGTTTCCACCAAAAGCAACTCCTCCTACACAACAGAAACTCTAAAATCAACGTAAAGCGGCGGCAAAAGAAGAAAAAAGGTGCCGGGAATCGTAGTTTACATAGCTCCTGCTTCTTCTAGAGGAAATCCGGTCGCAGTGGCGGGGTCGTAGAGAAGCTCGAAGCTGTTCTCGACGGTTTGTCCCCTCTCAACTCCCGTCACGCATCTCGGAGGAGGCTCTGGCGCCGCATGGCCGCAGCATCGCCTCCGTATCCGTCGCCGGTGTTCGAGCAGCTTGTGTTCGTAAAGGGAGGGTTCATCTGCGACTTGACGCGGGTGTAGTGATTCAAAATATTGACCATCATCAGCGGGTGAAGCTTGAAAGTCAGGCCGCTGCTGGATGATGACGCCATTGCCCATGAGCTCTAGTTCTTCTCTCCCCTCGTTCTCCCCCTTTTCTCTTCCAATTTCGTCGGCGATCGCTCACTGTCACTGGAAGTCTTGTGGATGTTTGTTGTAGGTATAGGTGTCAAAACAGAACCCGACCCGATTAACCCGCCCGATTAACTCGACCCGCAACCCGACCGCAATCCGAATTGACTAAAAGTCAACAACTCGCAATCCGCCCGACTCGCAACTCGATTGGCCCGCAACCCAACTAACCCGCAACCCGACTGACCCGCAACCCGATTAACCCGAACCCAATTGACCTGCAACCCGATTAAACCCGAATTCGATTAACCCGAACCCGGTCAATCCGAACCCGACTAACCCGTAACCCGACCGACTCAACCCGAACTTCACCTAATCCACTTGAATAATTATTATATTATACAATACATAGTTTTTCAAAATAAAGTTTTCATTCTAAACTTAACTAGGTAAATTTTATTTTTTATTTCGTATAAGGGATTTAAAAAATATGAAACTCACGTGATATTATGTATTTTAAGAAAATTACAAAAATTGAAATATGAATGTCACTTGAACACTAAGTTCTTTAACAAAATTAAAAAGTAAATATCAAATATAAAATCACAGTGTCAATATTAATAATGAAGAATTCATAATTGAGATCATGGACAATATTAATATAATATATAAATTAAAAGTTTGGTTAATTTAACTATTCAATAAAATTATCAATTACATATAAATAAAGTAAAGTAATGTATTTGGTAATTTGATGCTTTTAAAAGAAGAGGGAAATTTGGTTATTTGAATTTTTGAGAAAAGAAACAAAGGGAAATTTTGATGGTTTTGATATGTGGGAAGAGAAAGAAGTGGGAAAATTTGGTTCTTTTGATTATGAAAAAGAAATAATGAGGGAAATTTTGAGTTTTCAAATTTTTGTGTAAGGAAGGAAGAAAGAGAGAAATTTGGTTTTTCAATTTTATGGAAGAGAAAGAGGAGGAAAATTTGGTTCTTTTACTTTTATGAAAGAGAAAGAAGAGGGAAAATTGTGAGTTTCTAATATATGGAAGGAGAAATGAGAAATTTTTTAATTTTTTAATTTTTTTTGTGAAAAGAAGGAAACAAATTTGGTGTTTTCAACTTTTTGGTTTTTCAAAATTTTATCCTTTGAAATATGAATCTTTAATTTTTATATGAAGGGCATGACTAGTTAAATTTATTCTTATATGCTTGGAAGGCTAATATATATATCTGTGTAATTGTTTTTGGGCTAATAACTAAATTAACTATTAGTTACAACAATCATTTGTTTTACATATCACTTAATTTGTCTACTTGTTTTCTATGCTTCTACATTTATTGCAACTTCAACACTACATAATCGTTGTTTTACAACACTTAGTAAAATTTTGGCACATTTAAGTTGTGTTCGTGTTGAACTTTTATTTCAAAATGGGAGTTAAACTTGACATGTTAAGTCATACGATTGCAATAACTCAGTGAGGTTGCGGGTTTGAAAATTTTGGTTAATCGGGTTGCGGCCTTGCGGGTCACTTTGGAATGGAAAATGAGAGGGAGGTTTGGGTGGGAACTTTGGAATGGATAATTTATGGGCGGGTGAATATGAGCCAACAATTATACTAAACTTGATAAGTAATCTTTGACGATTCGTTGTTTACGGTATAAAGTATATGGTTAGAGTATAGGGTATAAGGTACAGATAGTTTAGGGTGTATATGGTTAGGGTATAAGGTATTGATGATTTTGACGGTTCTAAGTTTTTTATTAACATATTTTCACTTGAAGTCATTTGAAGTCTTTAACGACAGGAGATCCCTTTTTAATTTATGTTTATGGTACGTGGTTAGGGTACAAGGTATATGGTGTAGAGTATAGAATATATGGTTAGGGTATAACAATTGACACTTTTTTTATCTATGTTTTGAAAATCAAAGTATGAATTTCACTTTAAATTAACTATACTAACAAAATCACAACTCATAAGGATTATGGTTAGAGTATAGGGTATGTGATTAGTGTATAATGTATTGATGGTTTAGGTATAAAACTCAAAGTTTGGTTAAATCACAACTCACAACAATACCAATGTTTGGTTAAAACTCAATGTTTAACTAAATTTAACATTCGTCTGCTATCACAACTTACAATTACTAATAACCCTAATAATAATTACCACCCATTATAGTATATATAATCATCGTGACTTCCACATTGCCCGTCCATCCACCTTTCGCATTCTCATTTGTTTTGACATGTGTGTTTTGCAGCTGCATGACTCCAATTCCGCAGCACAAGCGAAGAACACAATTCCGCAGTAGTCAATCTCGAGTTCTCTATCCTCCATGTTCAGTTCTGGCTAATTACTCTATTCTGCCTCTTGCGACACCACTCATGTTATCAGTTTCGGCCAATCACTCTGTTCCGACCAATTATTTCATTCATATCCTTAGTAGTAAATCCAGTTTCATAGGGTAATTGCAAACACAATGGTCATGAATGCAGTCGCCAAGCTTCCTAACGGGAATGCTCCAATGGCCAACGAGAATGGAAACAGTACTATCCTTGCTGCTGCAACTGTAAAGCGTGCTACTCACCACACACCAACTCATTCTCTGCTGTCAATTTTGAATGGAGGAAAGGTGAATTATTAGTAAGGTTGTGATCACAACAGAGGATGGTAAGATAGGAACCATTATCCCCAATTCGTGGTATTAGTGAGGTTCAACTATATTATGGTCATTCGTTTTTCCCTGCTACATCTCCAAAGCATCACTATGATCTTTATTACCACATCGGAGAGAATGGAAAATTGTGGCTTTTCCATGCCTATAAAATAAAGTGACTGGCATGTCATTTAGACATATCAAGGTGTAGTGCTTATAGTGCTAAGGCCTTGTTAGGTTGGGCTGAAAAGAAAGCCCAGAGTTTTAGTTAGTTCAAGCTCAGCTTGAGTTTAATTTGTGCCTGAATATGGGCCGAGTTTAACACTTGGCTCGTATAGTTGAGCTCAAATTGAGTTCGAATTGACATTTTTTTAATCGAGTCGAGCTTGAGCTGATATTTTGTAGCTCGTATCAAGCTTGAGCTTAGTTCGAGTTGAGGCTTTGTTTGTCGAGCTCAAAGTCGGAGCTAAGTAAAAGCTCAGCTCGGTTTGTTTAGCCCTATCTGCTTACCAAGCGCCAAATACCAAATTTGCATGGTTATACTAAAGGTTATACTAAATGAGATACTTTAATACAATTACTACTGAAATATTACTAAAATACCAAATAAACATTTAATGGTGTCTTTTGGTTGCAAATGGTGATATCACCATTACTATTATGGTTATACTAAATGAGATACTTTAATACAATTACTACTGAAATAATACTAAAATACCAAATAAACATTTAATGATGTCTTTTGGTTGCAAATGGTGATATCACCATTACTATTAGCTAGTGTAATTTACCAATTACGATTAATTACATAACAAGTTTGCAAGTCATAAAAATTGATTCAACATTTTGACTAGTATTTTTTTAATTAAGTATATATGTGAGGTAGAATGAAATTGGTTAAAAATTGAGAAAAATATTTTAAATTAGTGTAATAAAATGTGTAAGTTGGTAATGAGTTAGGAGTAAGTTACTCGATGCGTTGACCGGAACAACCCGTAACCCGATCCGCCCGACCCAAAACCCGTTGAACCCGAACCCGATTCGCCTGCAACCCGATTGAACCCGAACCCGATTCGCCCGCAACCCGACTAACCCGCAACCCGATTGAACCCAACCCGAACCCGCCCGATTGACACCTATAGTTGTAGGGCTGGAAAACCGGTCCCAGTTTTCCGGACAAACCGAAAACCGGTCAGTTTAAACCGGCCCGGTTGTAACCGGAAACCGGATGAGTGTTTACCCAATCCAGTTTGCGGTCAGCCGGTCACAGCCTAGGAGGAAAAAACTGTCCCGGTCCCGGTCCGGTTTTAACCAGAAACCGGATAAAAGGCCCAGATCCCAAAAGCCCACCCCAAAGCCCAGAATAGAAACCCCAGCCCACAGCCCCAACGCCCCTTGACCTAAAATCAATCAATTCCCATTAGAAATTTCTCAATCACGCACACCGCCACCGCTTTCACTTCTTCCTTGTTCTCTCCTCTCCGATCTCTAACTCACAACCCACTACTCTCCCTCCACCGACCTCTCACTCTGGCCGACACCACAGTGAATCGGAGGGAAGAAGAAGATGAGCGGCGCCCGTGGGAGATAAGTGATGTACCTTTTCGTTACTATTCCCGACAAGCAAGGGAAAGAAGAATCGATGGCGGTGAGACGGCGACCTTGTGACATGCAAGGGGAAAAAAGAATCGGCGGTGGGAGATCGGCGATGGCGAGATGGTGGTGGGGGTGCCGCAAGTTCCTTAGCGAAACCCGTACTTTGTTGTTGAATCGATGGCGAGAAAGACGACGGCGGAGGCGATCATTTCGGTATCGCTCGAATCCGATCTCCCAAGCCCATCTGAGAGGAGAGGCGAATTTGTTGGAGGAGAAAATCGCGAAGAGACAGAGAGAGAAGAATCGCGAAGAGATGACGTGGGTCCGTGCATTGCGGGTGAGAGGTGGGACCTGGGATAGAGGGATTTTTATTTTTTGTTTTGTCCGATTTTATTCTAAACGGTAGCGTTTTTTGGACAAAAAAGTTACATCCAGTTTTTGGTTGAAACCGGATCGGACCGGATTCCATCCAGTCTGGTCACAGTCGAAACTGGATCGGAACGGATTCCATCCAGTCCGGCCACGGTCGAAACCGGGTACTCACCCAATCCCGTCTTCGGTTGTGACATTGGTCAAAACGGTTTAAAAAAACCGGGTTAATCCGGTCCAATTTAATCGGACCGGACCGTTTCCCACCCCTATTTGCTGTAAGTTTCTCCGACAAGGAATTTTGTGGGGGGTTTTTAGTAATCTGGCTTCTAAGTTATTTATTTCCTCGTTTCAGGATAGAACTAGGGCTGTAAATGAGCCGAGTTGTTCCCGAGCGGCTCGACGTTCGACTCGGGAAAAACTCGTTCGAAACTCGGCTCGTTTACTAGTAAGCCAAGC